AAAAAAAAAAAAAAAAAAAAAAAAACCCAAGTTTTTAAAAAAAAAAAAATTAAAAAAAAAAAAAAACCCTTTTTTTTTTTTTTTTTTTTTTTTTTTATCACAGTAATATTAAATTCAATACAAGTTCTGTTCACCCCACACTAAACGCTACACCTTAAAGTGGGAATTATTTGGATAATCAAACAAAATTATAAGCAACACAAATACATAATGCTCATTAGCAATTAGTTAAAAAACATGCAGAAGTATCCATTGTTGTCAGCAATATAAAACAAGTAATTGTAATTACCAATGAATAATTTGATATACTATTGAAATAACCAGAAATTGTAGTCCTTGTTACAGTACAGAGCTTTTAAAAGCAAATTGAAAGTAAAGTGCATAAAACATTTTATTTTTAAATATTTATTATTCAAAATTCTTTGGTTAAAGTGAAATTCTAGTAATTATATTAAGGAGTTATTGTTACTGTACACTTTTAATACAAATAATTCAAAATGTGTAGATATCATAAATAAGAATGTTGGAAACAGTGTAAACAATGACATAGCCTATACTTCTTATTCTACATTGATTGGTAACTCTTCTGATGGTTGCGATGACGACCAACTATGTAGGCAATAAGCACAATCAGAACCAATCCAGCCAAAGCACAGCCAACAGCAATTGGAACAATATCACTAATGTCATCATCAGCAACACATTCAAAAATATCTAAAGAAGGAAAAAGTAACAATTTCATGACCAACCTTAAATGAACCCAAAACTTTGGCTTGTAGCCAGAATACAATGAAGAATCTTAATTACAAATGAACAGTGAATTAGCAATTTTATTTTTCTCCAGTTTTCCTGATGACAGAGAAGACTACAGATTTAGTTTTTGATAACAAGATTCATACAAAACCCACTTTATTTCTAACTTTTCTATCTAGAGTTTGTTCTTATAGTACAATTCAATCATTTTTAAATTTGATTGTTCTTGCTGAGACAAAAAAAAAAAAAAATACTTGTATGACGGAAATGAATTTTAAATCAGAGGCATGCATAAATAGCTTTTTAAATGTATCTTTTGTGAGCCACTTGTCACTGCCCAGGATGCCTTCTGTTTAGTACCATAACTTGTCAGTTGGACTGCATAAAATGGTAGGCAAAAGTGAGTGCTGTTTTACATGTGGTACAAAACATATAATGTTAGTTTTCAATGCCAAAAGCTAGCAAAGCAATGAAACCAATAAAATCACATGCTTCTCAAAGTTAAGTCTCTAGAGGAAAATTAAAATCAGTCACAAACAAAAATCATTTCAATTCTAAAATAAAAATAAAATAACAGATAAAAAAAAAAAAAAAAAAAAAAAAAAAAAAAAAAAAAAAAAAAAAA